CCAAGACTGATGTGGTGCTTGCACTCAAGACTATGAGCTTCAAAGTGTATTGTGCCTATCAGAGGAACGAAAGAAGAGGATCGTGAATGATCATGATCGTTTGCGAATGTCGCCGTGTGGTGTGAGGAAGCAAACTTGAATTCTTGAAGTGAATTACAATGGAATGTGAATTACTGACAGCTTGGGCACTCGTGACTCTATATGCAGCTTGATCGACCGCGGTCTGTGGTCATCTCTTCCACGTCCGCGCTTGCCGTCACATGCTGCTGCTGCTGGTGGGCGTCACCCCTGCACGCACGTCTCGCTGCTGCTGCTTGCATCACAAGACGCCCACGCAGCAGCAGCACGTACACAGTCACTGCAGTTTGGAGTCACGAGTGTGTACCCAAGCGCCCGCGCTGTTGCAGCTCTGGGGAGAGAGTCTTTGTACGGATGAAACACGTGACTCAAGACCTTGCGCGTATCGCGCAATGTGTTATTTTCTTGCGGAGAGGAATCGAGTCGCGAGTGAGTCTTGGATATGAATGAATCTTAATTGAATGCAAGCTTGCGCTGGCCTCACGACTTGCCTCTCAAGCTTGCAGAGACCACAAACCAAAATCACAATCACAATAATAATGTCACTTAATTCGCGATTCACGCCATTTCGTGTGGTCTTCCCGAGCTAGGCTGCTTCTGCAGACGACCGCCAAGGAGACCAACCACCAAACGTATCTCTGCATCGACTCACCGCGATCCGACGTTTGAGCTGCAATCAGAATCACACAATCAAGAGTGTCGATCAAGGTCCTGCTTGGGGGTCAATCAAATGCGGTGACAAATCTTAGACTTGAGATTCAAAGGTCCATAGTGACTTTAAAAACGTTCGAATTTGCTGTACATCGTGCCTGCACCGCATAGAATCAGCTACATACCATACACCTATAGTTCACCGACGATGGAGCGTCCGCATTAGTCTTCATTGATCGGCTGCATGGCCTACAGGCCACCTCAAACAATCACGATGAGTTCTTGCGATCGAGAGATGCCGGGACAATTCTTGATTGAGACTTGGTCAGAC